TCAAGAAGACATTAACATGGCCTTTTTCCTGCACCACTCTGAATTTCTTGCTCTTATTTTGCCACTTGACGTGAACCCTTAAAGTGATGCAGTTTTGACAGAACTTTGTAAAAGCCTTTTACTTTGGGGAGAAGATTAAATTCCACCGGCACAATGGAGGTGAAGATGCCTTTTTTTTCTCATTTTGGGGAGGATGGAAAGGACTTTGGATAAGCATCAAGAGCAATGGGACTGCATATTAGGAAGCATCTTTTCTTCCGCTTCATACCTTGGATGGCAGAGAACACCCTCCGTCTTCATTCGGGGCAGAACTGAAGTTGGGAGTCATCGGATCCCGAAACATTTGTAACTCGATTACAAGCACTGTCTTGAAATCCTGCTGCACAGGTTAAAAATAAATCAATGGGCTCGAAGCTCATTTTTATTCCGCACATTCAAATTAGAAGCATTTTTGAAATTGCTTTGAAGAACGTCGCCAGAGTCGACCTCATTCTCTTTGCAGCCAACACAGACACACTTTTATGCGCGCTGTGATTGAGTATTTTCAAGTTTACAATAATCACAGAATCAAGCAGCACGTGTTGGGGCGGCAGGGTTGAGGGTGTTTTGGAATAAGGAAACTTTTTTTTTCACAAAAACCTTTGTGATAACCGTATCATACAAAAAAAAAAAAAGAATCATAACGTACCTGCTCGAGTGCTCTGGAGTTTTGATCACACCTCCATCTTTCACTGCTAGGAAGAAGAATGCAGAAAAAAAAAAAAAAAACGAGTGTGGGGCTCAGGGAATACAACGAAGACCAAGCCTACTGAGTGGGAGGAGAAGTGAAGAATGATCGCTGATTGTGCTTGTCTTATGAGGGGAATCCATCAGTAGTGGCAGCGGGACAAATAACATTTGCGCGGCACATGTGAGACTTGCGTTGAGCATGAGGTTTTTGGATTCCGTAAATCTTTGAATCTCACGCAATCATTTCGGTTCGACGCAGGCAGCACTTTGGGTGCATATTGCAAGGCAGCGGAATAAAAAATCACATCCAGCGGAGGAGGCTTGGGTCCCATCTGCACACTCACAAAAAAGCAAAGTCACAGATTGGAATGGGCTGTAAAATTAATGCGGAGGTAAATGCGACTCTCGGTGAATTTATGACCACGGGATTTGATGGAATGCCGGTTGGTCTCGCAAGCGGATATGATCGATGTACAGAGAGTCAAAAATAATCAGCAACCCGATCAGGATTCTTTTATTGAAAATGAGGTGGAATCCACGTTTTGGAAATAACCGCAAACTCCCAAAATGCTTCTCCAAAAAAAAAAACCCCAAAGCTTTGTGCAAGTTTGTTACTCTGTCTTTAGTAGATTTTTGAACAGGGCTACATGACGTTAGATGCTAAATCTGGTAAGAAAACTCATTTGATGGGCCGCTTTCTAATTTGCAAGGGAAGGGGAGGAAGAGAATAACGGAGTAGGAGGCTACAAGCGACTGAACGTTGAAGAGACCCCCAAGGTGGAGAAGAAAAGTACAAGTGAGTCATTTGCCCGAGGAACAAAAATGCGGGAATCAATGCTTCGCTTGTTTAAAAGACAAGCGGGTGTCGATGAGGTGGTCGTTTGAAGGTATTCCTTTGCAAATTGCACGGGAGGCAACCCCCGATGAATAAATCAAGAGATAAGCTCCCTCAACTGACTGCGGATTCAGATATAGAACGGAAGCAAGTGTGCAAAAATGCGGTCATATTCTCGGGGAAAATCCATTTGCGAAAATTGCTTTTGCATAACACCGACGCTGCAGTATCGCCCGCCGAAAAGGATCCCGACGCCAATTGTCAACCTGTCACGCCCGTATGGGGGCGGGTGGGTGTGGGGGTTGCAGTCGCGTCGTCCCTTGCTGCCATTTCAGCCAGGCCACATCTATTACGGAGCCGCCTTGTGAAAGCCAAAATCTTGAACAGTTGGCAAGTTGCTGTTGACTCAGCGGTCATGTACGACAACTAATTCCCTCAAACAGATTAGGATCATTTGTGCATTTGCCTGGATCCAAAAATCAAACAGCTGCTATTTTGTTTCTACTTCTGTTTAAATATTAATGTGACATTTGAACAGGCCTTAGGCATCCCCCCCCCACCCCCACCCCCACACCCTCGCCAACGCCTGTGCTAAGGTTCAAATATGGTTTCTGCTTCGCACTATTGATTCATCGAGTGAATCATCCGCAAAGTAATGGAATGCGTTCCACCTCAAAACCAATTGTCGATGTTTCTTTCATTGTGAAGTTGATCCCATTGGTGGTTAGGCACTTTCTGCTATACTTGCCTTTCTTTCGACTTTCAGCTGCTTTCGTGAATTTTGCTCGCTTTTTCCGACTCGTATTGTGAAAATGTGGGCACAAATAGTTCTGCGTTTTATTTCACGAAACCGTGACTGTGGATAACCGAGTAGCATCCAGTATAACTGCATCCTCTAGTTAGAGCAACCTCTAACATCATTTCTGCAGGTTGTTTTCATCACCCCTTAAAAAAAAACAAAAAAAAAAACATCAATCACGAAGATCGACAAACACAAACATCAACATGGAGTCATTCGCCACCCGCTCCACAGCAAACGAACTTATGTAGCCTAGCAACAGCTCGGAGGCCGGCGTTATTAGCACTGCGAAGAGAGATGAATGTCACGAGGAAGATATTTGGCCCGTCTCTGCCACTTACTCATTTACACAAGCAGACGTCAGAAGGGAACGTCGGCTCACACGCGCAAGTCCAATTTCTGTAAACCGCCTCCGCTCACGTCCCCTCAAACGTGCTTGGTTTCCGACAGCCGCGCATTTGTAACAGCCCATCGATCAGGCTGCTCCACCAAACAATTTGGCCGCCGTCTTTTGCTTTCTGCCAAGACTGGAACTTTTTTTTTGATTGTCAATTTGTTATTTGTCCTCTTTTTGTTTCACTCGGGGATGTTGTGGCACCCGCGCTGCCAAGTGATACGTGCCAACGGTGCGGTTTCCATGAAAGCAGCTTTGCTAAGCTCGTGCCAGCCTTTCTTTCACTCACTTTTTCCCAAAACTTAAAAGAGCAGAATATTTCGGTTATCGTCTAAAGGGGTGTCAGCGTTAAACGGCACCGTTTAGTGTAATTATATGGCAGACAAGTGTCTCCAATCGCGAGCGGCAAAAATACGGTGTCAAATAATAAGTTCCTGCCTCTGCTCAATACTATCCATCGCCATCGGCATCATTTTTTTGTACAAAATGTCCCTTAATATTTTCCTGTCAACTGGTTCGTCATAAAGAAATACTTTACAATACAGGCACTCCACTTTTCTCGCCCTAAAACTGTCTGCGTTGCACGCCGATATGTACCCCTTCAGTTGAATACCAATGATGGTTATAAACCACTTTAAAGTGTTGCTGGGGATGCGTTTTTGCTCTATAAGCCCTTTTCCACCAAATCACCCCCCCCCCTATTCCCCTCCCCCACAAAAAAACAACAACAAAATAAAACTTGGTGTTCATAAGGCAGCGGGGCCAGTGCTGTGCTTAGTTGGCGCTGAACAAATTCTTATGAAAAAACTTTTGGTTTGTCCGGCCCAACAAAAAATTGTGGCACTAGCCCGCAACTCGCACTAGCACACGGGCGCTGGAAAAGGCCCATATGTAAGTCGACAACAATAAGATGAAACCTGAGTCCATGTTGACGAGCCGCTTGACGACGTCACTTTTTTTCAGTACACGAATATAGTTTTTTGTTTTGTTTTGTTTTGGACAGCTCCGACACCAAATAAGCAAAACATACATTTTACTGGTTCTCCCTTCCCAAAGTTGCACATGAAACGAATAAAGGACCACTTAAATCAAAGCGATAGACTATTTTCATTCGGGGCACTCAGCTGTTCCTGAAAGAGACTCTGATTTGTGGCTTTTCAACGTCACACTCAAAGATCTAAACATGGGCTCTCGTGAATTCCGGCAATTCGTCTTGCGCTTTTCTCGCAGAATGTGTGAGCGGTGCAAGAAAGTTGCAAAGTTGAATCCAGTCTTGTGGGACTGTTTATGATCACGGAGGTTGGAGGCCAGTGCACATTTCATTATCCTGCACGGCGCATTGCCGAAAACTAATCATCGCGGCCATATGCAAGGGGTGGAAATGACATTCTGTTTCACCAATGGACGTTCCAGACTATTAAACACCAATTTCACGATTAGTGAACCAGACGTGAAGGCATCTACGCTCAACTGATTTCCATTCCCGCTGAGCGGACGATAGATTGGTCATAGCCGGAGCCTGAAATGTGATCGTGATAATGACCGATTCTTGTTGTCGATGAAATAGAACTATTGCGGCACGAGAACATAAAAAACGCTCCACGGCCTCATGACGCGAACTGTACCTGTTCAAATATAATTCGAAACATTTTATTTTCAGTTTTACAGCCATTAATAACTTGAAACATTTTATTGCTTGCTTTGCATCGGACGAGTGATCGGTGCTCGCCTCCAAAATCCTGTTTGTGTGAAGCTATGTATGCCGTCTCTGGTGACTCCATAGTTTGTTCCAGAGTGTTGGATTTTTTCCGCAAGATCAATGATCAAACGGAGGCAGTGATGTGGTCATTATGTCACGACATTTTCACATCCAGCCAGATTGTAGCCCAAATCGTCCTCCGAGAGGTAATATGAGCTGGGAGCTTTCCATTGCTAAAGGTATGCTGTGATGTCCTCAAGTCAAGTTTCTTTATGCGTGTGTGTGTGTGGGGGGGGGGGCGTTTTGGCTGCGTCTACCACATTAATATTCAAAGAATGCACCATGGATTGGTTATTTAACGTTATTATATGTCTCAGACTATTTAATGGTATTACAATGGGGGAGCCCACGTGGATTGACGGGCGGTAGAGAGAGAGAGAGAGA